GCAGGTGGTAGGATGGCTCAGCTGGTGTAACAACAAGATTGCTTATTCAATGGTGGGCTATGCCCACCTGCAACGAAGACTGAACCCGGCACCTTGAGCTGAGCTGCCGCCCTGATGGCTCAGTAGATAGAGGGTGTGCTCTTAACAACAAGGCTGCCGGGTTCGACTCCCGCATGGGATGGTGGCTACGCCCACCCGCAACTAAGATTGAACATAGCACCTTGAGCTTAGAGGCCACGAGCTGCCGACGGGAAGCCAGATGGCGACTGGCGCCCTCCACAACGAAGATTGAAGAACAACTTGGCTGGTCCCCCTCCCCAATTCCCCAACACTGTTGCCCTCCTCCAATTCCCAATAAAATCTTTAAAAAAAAAAATTAAATGTCCATTTGATTGTGGAATGAGAAAATCATCATTGACCTCGGTTTGGAAATTTTCATAGTGGGGGGGAGGCTTCATGCAATTATATGTAAGAATTATATCATTAGGATTATGTTAAAAGCTTTAATTTTTAATAGGTATAAGCATTTAAATTATGCTATAATTTTTGTAACTCTTCCTGGTAATTCTTTGTTATTGTTTAATATAAACAAAGCAAAAAACAAAATAACAGAAAGAAAACACAAAGCAGCCCAGGCCACTGACAGCCTCCGTGAGGCCTAACGTTTCAGTGGAGTGGTGTGTATGAAGTGAGTTTAATTTCTAAAAGAAAAAATTGTGCTTACTCTATAATTTTTTTTTTAATGACAGCATCCAAGAAAACTTCAATGTATAAGGTCTCACAGTTAAGTTCGCAAACTTGTTGCAACGATGTTGCTAACTTTTTTTTATATCAGAGGGATTATTCATTATGAATTTGTACCAACTGGACAAATTGTTAACCAAGTTTACTATTTGGAAGTGCTGAAAAGGCTGCGTGAAAAAGTTAGACAACCTGAACTTTTTGCCAACAATTCACTGCTCTTACATCACAACAATGCACCAGCTCACACGGCACTGTCTGTGAGGGAGTTTTTAGCCAGTAAACAAATAACTGTATTGGAACACCCTCCCTAAGTCACCTGATCTGGCCCCAATGACTTCTTTCTTTACCTGAAGATGAAGGAAATGTTGAAAAGAAGATATTTTGGTAACATTCAGGACATCAAGGATAATATGATGACAGCTCTGATGGCCATTCCAGAAAAAGAGTTCCAAAATTGCTTTGAGGGGTGGACTAGGTGCTGGCATCAGTGCATAGCTTCCCAAGGGGAGTACTTGGCAGGTGACTATAGTGATATTCAGCAATGAGGTATGTAGCTTTTTCTAGGATGAGTTTGCAAACATAATTGCCCAACCTCGTGTATTATTAAGTGAAAGAAGCCAATCTGAAAAGGCTACTTAATATATGATTCCAATATATGACATTCTGGAAAAGGCAAAACTGTGGAAACAGTAAAAAGATCAGTGATTGCCAGCGGTTGGGGAGAGAGAGGGATGAACAGGCAGAGCACAAAGGATTTTTAGGGCAGTGAAACTACTCTGTATGATGCTACAATAGTGGATACACATCATTATACATTTGTCCAAACCCACAGAATGCACACCAAGAGTGAACCCTAAGGTAAACTACAGACTTGAGCTGACGATGACATGTCAATGCAGGTTCACCAACTGTAATAAACATACCACTCTGGTTACACTCTCTTGTCTGTGGTCAATAGCCAGCTGCTGACAGCCAGCAGTGAGGCCCCACGCACCCTCCTCCAGAGAAACTGATAAAACCTATGAAGATTCTTCCAATATCATGGCCAGGTCCTCACCTAATCCCATTACTGTGACAGCCACCAGACCTTAATTCCTGCCCAGGTGCACAGAGCTTCTAATCCACTTTTTAGACCCATTCCTAAGTATGAACAAAGAACCAAAGATCACTGGACATTTGAGGAAAACCTCCAATAATAAAAGAGAGAGGCCAAAACAAATAGAAGGAACACAGAACAAACAGAGATATGCAGTGAAAAGAAAAACAGTGATACAGAAAAGCACGGAGAAAGGTTCTGAATTCATGAAATACTGGAAGCTGTATTTTAAAAATTAAAATAATTCACAGAATAAGCACAACTTTTTAGAAAATAAAAATTTAAGAACAGAAGTTAGAAGTCCAATAGAAAATCTGAAAGATATAAGATGAAGAAATCTACAGAAAGTAGAAGAAAAAGACAAAGAAAAAAGGTTACTGAAATAAAAAAAAGAACAAAAAACTTATTGATGAAATTATATAAGAAAATTTCTGAGAAAAAGAAGAACATTTCTGAGAAATTTCTGAGAAATCCTGATTGAAAAGGTCCACCTCGTCCTCAGCACAGAGAGTGAAAAAAAAAAAAAAAAACCCACCAAGGCATATGGCTGTAAAATTTCAAAGCAACAGCAATAAAGAGGAAATCATAAAAGCTTCTAGAGAGGGAAAAGGGTCACATAAAAGGGTTGAAAAGCAGGGTGGCACTAGATCTTTTAGCTGCAGCACTGGAGGCCGGAGGTGATGCAGCAGTGAAATCAAGTAAGTATCTGAGGGACGATACTTCCAGCCTGAACTGCTTCGCACAGGCGAACTCCAGTCAGCTGTGAGGTGTATTAAGACACTTGTAGACACAAAAGGTATCCAAATGTTTACCCTCACACGCCCTTTTTCTCAGAAGTTACTGGAAAATGAACTGCGTAACAGGGAATAAACCTAGAAACTCTAGCACACTGAGTATTAATGTAAATAAAAATCATAATTTAAGTATGCAGGGACAATAGAGGAGCAAAACCACAAGGGGAGGAGGGCAATACAAAAACTAGCCTCATTTTCTATAGTAGGGAGTTTGTAGATATCTTAAATAACAAAGCATGACAGTATAAACATGTTATTAAGAAGTATGGAGGTGACAGCAGGAGAAACAGCTGAGTTGAAAATGCTTGTCACCAGAGCAAAAAGTTTTTGGTGGGAGGGTGGGGTGTACCCAGAGGCAGAAAGAAATATAGTAACAGTCAACTGTTTAAGTTATGTTTATATTCTATTTTGATCAAGATAAAACGTGAATTAAATTAATGAATAACAGGGTGTTCAGGTCTTGCAAACTATTCCTATGAGAAGCTTAAATATCCTAGAAAAAAAACTAAACTGGTCCAGACATGGTATTTTTTGTTGTTGTTGTTACTTTTTTTTAACTTTGGAGAAACAATGAAGAAGAAATTATTACAGTGCCGGAAAGGAGTAAGTCCTCCCCAGAAACACAGGTCTGGAGCATGTGTATCCAAATGAGGCCTAGACGGACAGACAGACAGCTCCTCCTCAGTGACTGGGGTGGAGGATGTAGGAGCATCAACAGGCAAAAAAAACCACGTGAGGAAGAAACATACCTGCGGTTAGAGGGCCAAGACAATGCTTGATAGTCTTTTCTGGGGGTGAGGTAGGAGGCCGAGGGAAATTGTGAGTGTTTGGGAAGGTACCAGAAGAAAATGTTAACTTCAATTTGATCAAGCAAGCTTGATCTTAGAGCAGGAATTGACACACGTTGTCTTAATTGACAGTATTTGTACTCGGTCATTCCTCCGTGCTCCCATAAAACTTCCTAACACTTATCATACCATATTTACAACAATACTTTGAAAAGGATTGTGTTTTCCCTAAACTATGAATTCTCAAGAACCATCTTATCCATTTGTATTCAGCCAACACTGACTCGCCATAGTGACTGACACATGGTGAAATGTGTTTTCGTTATACAGACATACAAATATTTTATTTCCAGAAGTACAAAAGCATGTCAACATGCCAACACACGTTATTACCTTAAAATGTTTTTTATACACCAGAAGTCAGCATTCAATAACTTTACTGTATATTTAAAAAATAATACATAATGTCCCATTATATATAACCTCCCCAAAAAATTCTGATTTAAGCTCAAATTTACATCTGAAGCTGTCTCTTCAACTAAGTACACATAAAACCTAGAATCTGATTGGGTGACGCCCATACTTTGACTAAAGTCAGAATAGCAGGGAAGACTACATGAATCTGCTACTATCACATGGATTTCAAATTAAAGCTCAGGAATATTCACAATGAATAAAAAAAGTCCAGAGTTGGTAATTAGTATCTGCCCTGCCTACTAAAATAACCCTAAAATTTTTATGGCTTGAAACATCAATCTTATTGATCCAGAATTAATTTGAGCACAGTTGGTCGCTGTTTACTAAGCACTTCCTAACATTTCAACATATTCTAATTTTCCATTCTTTCTAAAAGGAAAATAATAGTTATTATTCACTATGAAAAGCATAATATTAATGCTAACTTTTAAAATCCTGCTTTCCTCTTCATTACATTTAAGCCAAAAACAAATTTTCTTAGTAATTATCCAATACCTTTTCCACACAACATTTCAAATCCATCTCAAATAGGTTCAGAGGGAGAAGGGGAGTTAAAAATGATTTTTAATTAAAGCAAGAGCTTTGTTTGCCATTTCAATTTTTTGCTGAGTTTAGAGGGTGTTTTTGATTGCTATTAGTTAAAATTCTTGTCATATTAATATAGGAGAGAAAATGAACTTGAAAAGTCTATTATGAATGCCCAATAATGTCAATAAATCCTAATGTCTAGTTTTACAATGCAGTAAAACAGAGAATTATAATTATCTAAATGATTTAAGCTAATCAACAATTTAGGACAAAATGCAGATTGGTACACCTGCATATACCTTTCCACAAACTCCACAAAGTATGCATTGATGAACTGATTGTTAGAGTAACATCATGCAACGTAAAACAACCAAACTGACATCTTCATAAATTCAGCCTTTCAAAAATGTTTCAGAAAATAATTCCCAAAATGCATTTTATAATATATAAAGGTATCCTGACAATGGAGCTGTGTTAGTTCTACTTATAAGGTTGTACAAGCTAAATGAGAGTTCAGTAGTTCCCAGATGACTTCGAGTCTACAAGAGCACACAAAAGCATCTCGCTGAATACCTGATTTTGACTTCAGGATAACCTGAATAGTATGTCCATCGTTGGTGACTTCGCAGTCCCGGCAGACCACATAATTTGGCGAGAGGCGGACATCCAGCAGTGAGGGGTCATATCTAGCTTCTCTTGAATTCAGGTTAATGGGAGACTGGTATTCCCCATTAGCATCAGGAAACACCAAGCCCCACTCAACACCTAACGACAAAATGAAGCAAATTTAAAACAGGTTAAAAAAAGTTACAGTAACATTTAACATGTAAGAATGAGTTTAAACACTGTTTATGACCCTTGACATTATTAAGAGGGTTATGACTCCGATCTCTCTACAGATAAAATGTGGTCAGGGTGTGAATTTTTGCATTCGCATTTTGCATGCTCCAATGTTATCAAATACCACATACAAAATCCTGGACTAACAAAATACTCTGTATTGATCCACATAGATGTAGTAATTGATGACGGGAGGAAATTCAGGTCATCTTTAAGTGACTAGAAAAAAGATAATGCCACAAAAATTTCCTCTGCTCATCATTTCAATTATGTGCAGTACTTGGCAAACATCTGTAACTCTCAACAGGCTCCGTGAGAGCCCAAATCCACAGACCTGAAGCAAGTGAGCAAACACCTCTTATCAGAAATGCAAGTATAGTATTTTGAAGTGTGCCTATGTCTCTATATACATACCTGTATTCATGCATATGTACTATTTCCATATTTTTAAATTAAAATTATAAATTCTACACTGTTTTCAATAGATGTAGTCAATATCAGCACCTGTGGTCAACTCTGTTAAAGAGACCTACATCTTCAGGGATAAATTTAGGAAACTAAACTTTTTAAAAAGTCAAGCCCGCTGAGTCAGCCTGAAATTAGGCCATGTCTGGAAAGAGTTGAGCCTTCTCAGGATCCTTCGGGAAAAGAGTAGAGGCAGAAATACTTTCTTCTACCAGTCTTCAGAGCAAACAAGAATTTAATACTTTCACGGACATGGTATTCTCGAGGCGGTGAGTACAACGTAACGCTGCTCTTCTTAGCTACTCCGAAGACAGAAATGTCACCGCCGCAGCTTTAAGGCTCGCCCTCCGGATGGAGGCAGGTGCCAACGGCTGCCCGGCAGGAAGGCCAGGCTCCCCAGCGCCAGAGCAGGCGGCGGGCCCGCCCGCTGTCCCCGGAGCGCCTCGCGTCCCGACCCCGGCCGGCCGGGGACTGGGAAGGCGACAGACACCCACGTGGGCAGGCGGGGCGCGGAGGGGCTCGGAGCGCGCGAGACCCGCGGGGCGCGGGACGCACGCGGCGCGCAGCCTCGGACGCGCTGTCCCGGGACCCCGGCCGCCCCGGCGCGCGGCGGGTTACCTTCCTCGTAGCCCCACTCCACGCCCTCCTCCTCTTCCTCCTCGTCTTCTTCCTTCTCCGGGAAGGCGACGGAATCTTCGATGAAGCTCAGGTCCGCCATGGGAAGG